GGCTGCCGACCGGGAACACGTCTCGGTGCCCGCGATTGGCGCTGTCGGCTTCCTGGCGGGCTCGGCGCGTGGAGCTGCGAACGCGCCCCACCCCATCGCTACTCTTCACTGGGAACACCTGAACTCAGTCATAGGGGAGTGGGGTGGAATTGGGGGTCCGTGTGCTCCTTCTACCCATGTTCTGTCCTCCATCTACGGCTGCCACGAAGCAGGAGAAGGACGGCAGGGTTTGGGCAGAGATGAGTGACGGCTGGCAGTCATATATATAGAAGTGAGAGGAGATATGAGTGACAGCTCTATACATCGGAGGAGAACCCATCATCCCCCCCACATCTCACTCCTGCTGGGAACGTGTAAATCTATACATAACGCTGGCGCGTCTCCACCACCAATCAAAGGGGAAGCTGCAATCTCCATCACAGCGGCAGGGAAAGGTTCTGAAACAATGTCATTGGAAGTTCCGCTTTGTTGAGTAGAAGTAAAACCCAACGCGTTGTGGGGGCGCTCACACTCCTTCAGGGCTGGGTTCCATCCTATAGCGTGATCCACTGGCAGGGAGATCCATTTCCAGGTCCTGTATGAAGCCAGAGTTAGCTGAATAGGAAGCTGCCGTGTTGAATGATGATGTCCCCCTGACGCCTATACGGTGCGAGTACAAGAATACAAATGTATGGGGGTGACATGGGGGTCATGTATGTTATCTGCTTAAGGTTACATATCATTACATGTGAACAGTCTATGTTTACCACGATGGGTTTAGTTCACAACCCCCGCAACCTCGCAGCACTGGGGTCCCGGGTGAACCGGGGAATCTGGTGTCTGTTGCAGAACGTGTGTTGCGCTATTTAGCAGAGATCGCTCGCAGTTCAGGTGTGTGAGGCATCATTGAACGGGTAATTGGGACAATCTGACATTATCAGCAATCAATATAACAATGTGTCACGCAGGAAGAGTAGAAACCACAGTGAGCAGAAATAGACGGGGGTGACGATTGTTCTGGCTGAGATACGTAGAAATGATGATGATGATTATCTGACGTTGTTCTCGTCTCTCTCTCCCCTCCACAGCAACTCTATGCCGCTCAGCTCGCCAGCATGCAGGTCTCTCCCGGAGCCAAGATGCCCTCCACGCCACAGCCCCCCAATTCCACAGGAGCCCCGTCGCCCACGCCCGTCAAGAGCGAGAAGAGGGGGAGCAGCCCCATCACACAGGTCAAGGTATATATACTGCCCAACCCCCGCCCTGTCTGCTGCCATTCACCATCAGATCATTATCTGCAATCCAGTGTCAGGCTGGGCGCACCAATCGTAGCTCCCCCTCTGATATCCCTCCAACACGTACATAGAACAGATTCAGCACAAAATATTTCCTCTTTACTTGTATTTATATCAGGAAAATGCTGAAGTCTTTTTTGCAACAAAGTATACAAATTACAAACTGACACAACCGAGGAATACAGATCGCAACAATGTATCCGGCTGCGTCTGCGACACCGAGAATGATCGATTCGCCATCAATCCAATCCAGACATGTTCTCATATTCGTTGTGTTACAAAGTCACTTATCCTTTGCTGCTGCATTGCCTTCAGGTTACTGTGTGTCTCCCTGTGTGTGTGTGTGTGTCCCTGTGTGTGTCTCCCTGTGTGTGTGTGTCACTGTGTGTGTCTCCCTGTGTGTGTGCGTCTCCCTGTGTGTGTGTGCGTGTCCCTGTGTGTGTGTGCGTGTCCCTGTGTGTGTCTCCCTGTGTGTGTGTCCCCGTGTGTGTGCGTGTCCCTGTGTGTGTGCATGTCCCTGTGTGTGTGTGCGTGTCCCTGTGTGTGTCTCCCTGTATGTGTGCGTGTCACTGTGTGTGTGTGTGTGCATGTCCCTGTGTGTGTGTGTCACTGTGTGTGAGTCCCTGTGTGTGTCTCCCAGTGTGTGTGTCCCTGTGTGTGTGTCCCTGTGTGTGTGCGTGTCCCTGTGTGTGTGTGTCACTGTGTGCGTGTCCCTGTGTGTGTCTCCCTGTATGTGTGCGTGTCACTGTGTGTGTGTGTCCCTGTGTGTGTGTGTGTGCATGTCCCTGTGTGTGTGTGTCACTGTGTGTGAGTCCCTGTGTGTGTCTGCGTGTCACTGTGTGTGTGTCTGCATGTCCCTGTGTGTGTGTGTCACTGTGTGTGAGTCCCTGTGTGTGTCTGCGTGTCCCTGTGTGTGTGAGTCCCTGTGGGTGTGTGTCACTGTGTGTGTCTGCGTGTCACTGTGTGTATGTCCCTGTGTGTGTGCGTGTCACTGTGTGTGCGTGTCCCTGTGTATTTATGTCCCCGTGTGCTTGTCCGTGTGTGTGCGTGTCACTGTGTGTGTGCGTGTCCCTCTGTATGTATGTCCGTGTGTGTGTATCCGTGTGTATGCGTCCCGACGCTCATCACATGGGCACCCTTTGCTTTGTGGTAACACACGGTGGTTTGTGCGATGCGTTGCAGTGCCGCTCATAGAGAACGGACCTCCCACGGAACCAGTACAGTCGGAGGGGAGCACACCTGCACTGCAGCTCACCTCAGCACACGCCCGCATTTCATTTTGAGGGTCACGTCCATATTTTGTAGTTAAGTGAATGCGTTTCCCTAACGCAATGCACACTAATGCAGCTCGCCGGAAGGATCTATAGGGGCCCATCGAGTTTCTCTATCCGGAACATATCAGCGTGTAGATACATTTGTTACATTCTTCTCCATTGCTTAGTCCATCCGGAACTCATCATTTCTATCAACGCTTTCAGAGATTTTGGTGACAAAACACAGCAGGGGCCCCCAGCTCCACACACGTACAGGCATGGAGTCTCACTCCTCCCTGCTGCATTCTCCATCACATAAAACACCTGAACCCCATCCATGGCTGGGGGTATCTTGGTATTGATAATGGGGTGTTATTGGGACTGTGTTAAAGTGACACTAAACTCCGGAGTCCCCGAACTCTGAGCTACAATGTATCTTATTTGTGTATCACTCGGCTGGAGATCCTCCAATCATCTCTGACACTGTCCTTCCTCCAAGCTCCGCCCCCCGGGATGGACTACAATCTCAGGTTTAGTTTACTGATTTGTAATGAGATTCTAGTCCATCCCGGGGGGCGGAGCTTGGAGCGGTGACTACTTTACAACACACACAGGGACCATGGGGAATACAAGCAGCCCCCCTCCAGAAGGAAGGACAGTGTCAGAGATGATTGGAGGATCTTGTGTCACTGTGTGTGTCTCCCTGTGTGTGTGCGTCTCCCTGTGTGTGTGTGCGTGTCCCTGTGTGTGTGTGCGTGTCCCTGTGTGTGTGTGCGTGTCCCTGTGTGTGTCTCCCTGTGTGTGTGTCCCCGTGTGTGTGCGTGTCCCTGTGTGTGTGCATGTCCCTGTGTGTGTGTGCGTGTCCCTGTGTGTGTCTCCCTGTATGTGTGCGTGTCACTGTGTGTGTGTGTGTGCATGTCCCTGTGTGTGTGTGTCACTGTGTGTGAGTCCCTGTGTGTGTCTCCCAGTGTGTGTGTCCCTGTGTGTGTGTCCCTGTGTGTGTGCGTGTCCCTGTGTGTGTGTGTCACTGTGTGCGTGTCCCTGTGTGTGTCTCCCTGTATGTGTGCGTGTCACTGTGTGTGTGTGTCCCTGTGTGTGTGTGTGTGCGTGTCCCTGTGTGTGTGTGTCACTGTGTGTGAGTCCCTGTGTGTGTCTGCGTGTCACTGTGTGTGTGTCTGCGTGTCCCTGTGTGTGTGTGTCACTGTGTGTGAGTCCCTGTGTGTGTCTGCGTGTCCCTGTGTGTGTGAGTCCCTGTGGGTGTGTGTCACTGTGTGTGTCTGCGTGTCACTGTGTGTATGTCCCTGTGTGTGTGCGTGTCACTGTGTGTGCGTGTCCCTGTGTATTTATGTCCCCGTGTGCTTGTCCGTGTGTGTGCGTGTCACTGTGTGTGTGCGTGTCCCTCTGTATGTATGTCCGTGTGTGTGTATCCGTGTGTATGCGTCCCGACGCTCATCACATGGGCACCCTTTGCTTTGTGGTAACACACGGTGGTTTGTGCGATGCGTTGCAGTGCCGCTCATAGAGAACGGACCTCCCACGGAACCAGTACAGTCGGAGGGGAGCACACCTGCACTGCAGCTCACCTCAGCACACGCCCGCATTTCATTTTGAGGGTCACGTCCATATTTTGTAGTTAAGTGAATGCGTTTCCCTAACGCAATGCACACTAATGCAGCTCGCCGGAAGGATCTATAGGGGCCCATCGAGTTTCTCTATCCGGAACATATCAGCGTGTAGATACATTTGTTACATTCTTCTCCATTGCTTAGTCCATCCGGAACTCATCATTTCTATCAACGCTTTCAGAGATTTTGGTGACAAAACACAGCAGGGGCCCCCAGCTCCACACACGTACAGGCATGGAGTCTCACTCCTCCCTGCTGCATTCTCCATCACATAAAACACCTGAACCCCATCCATGGCTGGGGGTATCTTGGTATTGATAATGGGGTGTTATTGGGACTGTGTTAAAGTGACACTAAACTCCGGAGTCCCCGAACTCTGAGCTACAATGTATCTTATTTGTGTATCACTCGGCTGGAGATCCTCCAATCATCTCTGACACTGTCCTTCCTCCAAGCTCCGCCCCCCGGGATGGACTACAATCTCAGGTTTAGTTTACTGATTTGTAATGAGATTCTAGTCCATCCCGGGGGGCGGAGCTTGGAGCGGTGACTACTTTACAACACACACAGGGACCATGGGGAATACAAGCAGCCCCCCTCCAGAAGGAAGGACAGTGTCAGAGATGATTGGAGGATCTCCAGCCGGGTGACACAAATAAGATACATTGTTGCTCAGAGTTCAGGGACTTGGATGTATATTGAAGATTTATCTCCGGAGTTTAGTGTCACTTTAATTATTTTTGTTCCATTACAAGTAGAACGTCCCCTGAAATGTCGCCGATCTCAGCAATCCTGTAACGCGGCGGCTGCCTGTCATCGGTGTGTTACTGTAACCAGACCCCCGCGCGGCGTAACGCAATCCCGCAATGACGTAAAGTCTTGTGTCCCGGCGGCCGCTCCCCCCATCACCACATCTGTGTTCAGTTAGACGCAGCATTTGGATTATTAGGAAAATAAATGAAACGAGCTTTATTAAAGTGAAACGGTTGCCACGGAAACGAGTGATTGATTCGGTAACGGAACGTGTCGCAGACACCGCACCGAGGACC